TTTTTGAGTCGATTTCTTCAAAATTATTTGTTTGAAAAATTATTTTGGGGCAAATGCCCTTGCTAAGTTAATACGTGCCTGTATTAGTCGATTCTTAACCTTTTCCCTTCTGTCATAAACGATCACATATACCATCTCCCTCCTAAACAATGATAAATGTTTTTCCGTCAAAAAAATTTTAAAAGATTTAAATGTAAATACTTTGCAGCATTTTAAAAATTCAACCTAATGAAAATAAGGCAATACACATAAACCGTTGAAAATTTGTACTGGTAGTCGACTTAAACCGATTGTCATGAAGTTGTTTTGCGTGTGATTTCAATCTCAATTGGTTTTTGTAAGCTATTTCTTTTTGATTGATGGTTGATTTATTGCCTATGGAAGGTATTGCATAGTTTATTTTACGATTAAACATTAAGTCTGCTCGTACTATATTTGTTGTGCAATGATGAGTATTTCTAAATGAAATTTTTTTTTTGAGTTTCTTATAAACGATTGAACTAAGTATGAATGAAAAGGAGGGCCGTTGTCCGTAATGATGGTGCGCGATATTTCGAATAGCGCAATAATATCAGCAAGTGTTTGAATGAACGTCTTTGCATTTGTAGAGTTTACTACTTCGGCAAATTGATATTTGGATTTCTCATTGATAAATGTTAGGATGTATTTCCCGTTTGGGAATGAACCTAAATAGTCAGTGTTAATTGTTTCCCAGACTTTTTGAGGGGTTTCCGTTATACAGAGCGGTACAAGCGTGTTTTGCTGAGATAGTAGTTTACAAGTCGCAGTTGTTTAGTTTTTCTTCAATCATTTTATCCATATGTGGAAAATATACCTTTGATTGTATAAGGGCTTTCGTTTTTGTTATTCCCATGAGGCCTACATGTGTTAAATCAATAACTTCTTTTTGGAGTAATTTAGGAATGACATTCTTTTTTTTTTAATATTAAGTTATTATCTGTAGTGACAGTTAATTCAGCAGCCGTGGCGCAGTGGTTAGAGTTCTGGCTCTTAACCCAGAGGTCCCAGGTTCGACGCCAGCTCTAGCCCAACAAGCGACATTGGTACGGAAGGAGGCGTGAACTTCCCTTTAAATGCTCTCCCGCGGTGCTCTATGATAAGACCGCAAGGACTTCTGGGAGCACCTAAATACATACAAAAAAAAAAAAAATTCGTTTTAAAATTTATGTAACTTATTCAAACAGGTAATATCGTCTCTGAGTTTAAAATATTTTAAACTTTTGTCTAAATAATGTTATTAGTTTTCACTTATCAACTTAGCAAATTGTTGAAGTGTCTCGTCGGAAAGTGTGTATGGTTTTATTTTATCAATATAAATGGCGTGCAATTTAGCAAAATCGCTTATGAAATTTATATATTCTACTATCTTAAACAATTTTGTTGTGTAGTCGTGAAAAGAATGTCTGCTTGCATAATCGCTTTCATTTTTCTCGCTTTTGGCATGTTTTAACGCAAATGAAAAACTTTGTAACCTGAGAGTCGTTCTCTCAATTCTTAAAGAAATTATAGGTTTTGGGTTGTTCAATAATGTTATTATCGGTTTGTGATTGTTGTATATCGTAAACTCACGTCCGATCAAGTAAAGTCGGTTGTGTTCGCATCCGTGCACGATGCTGAAGCATTCTCTTTCTAGTTGTGAATACTTTTGTTCCATTTTTGATAAAGCTCGCGATGAATATGAAATTATTTTAGCTCTACCATCTTTCTTTGACCTTTGCAGTAATATTCTTAAAGGACTCGCGTCTGTGCAAAGAATAGTTTCTTTTTTTTTTGTCAAAAAAAGTTAAACATGTCTCAGTTGATTAGTAGTTTTTAAGGTATTGAATGCGGTTTGACATTCTTCAGAACATTTATACTCGGTGTCTTTTTTTAATTAGCGAAGTGGTTAAGTAATTGTACTGAAGTCGCTTATGAACCTTTTAAAATAATTCATCAACTCTTAAAAACTTCTTAGCGACTTTCCATCTTTTGGTGAAGGAGTATTTTCTATTTCAATTACTTTTTGTAAGTTAGGTTTTATAACATCCTTAGAAAAAATGTATCCGTAAAATAATAATGTAGATTTTCCAAATATGCATTTATTAAATTTAGTGTTAACCCGGTATGACTTAATCTTTGTAACACCTTTAAGAGTGTAATGTCGTGTTTGTTTTTGTTTTTCCATAGACTAAAATATCGTCTACAATGTTAATTAACCTTGTTATACCTGAAAGTGTTTGTCTTAGTGCATGTTGTAGTTTTTCTTGAGCTGAGTTTACCTCAAAAATTAATCTTTTAATCAAACCTTTTAAGACATGTGTTTGATTGGAATGTTGTTATAGACCTTGATTTAGGAGATAATTCGAGTTGGTAAAAAAGACTATTTAAATCTAGTTTACTTAAGACTGTAGAACCTATAACTTGATTAATTATATCAATTTTATTTTAGACTTTTATTTGGATTTTGAAAAGAGTAGTTTCTAAGTTTTTTATGGTTGTTGATAGCTCTATTTGTTGTTTTATGACCAAATCAGTGTCGTGAAAGTTACACTACCATGCTTGTTCCTTGATTCGTATAAAAAATGGTAAGTCGACTCCTCGTGTAATTATTTCATTTGTCGGAAAATAAATGTCTCGTATTTTATGTTCTTTAGATATGAAAATTCCACAATAATATTCGCTCGGTAACGTAAGTGATGTAACGTAAGTTAAATACATAGTGTCAAAAAAACCAGTTTATTTTCCTTAGCCACTCACCTCTGATAAATTTTTATATATTTTTTAAATTGGTATAGAATTCTCAACATCTTGTAAAAGTCTCTAATACAAACCGCTTTACTAATTCGCAAAAATCTGACCTAAAAATTGAAGCAATTTTTTTACCTAGTTTACCGTATAACGTAAGTTAAGGTGGAAGCAGGGTAAAAATGCTTTTTTTTAAAAAAGTCAAAATAGTTCAATATGCTTTATTCTAATAAAAAATGCTATTTAAAAAAAAACATTTAACACTATTTGCATAAAAATCTAATAATGACGTCATCAATTGTACACGTCATGAACAGATTTTTGCCTTAATTTTATATGTTTCATCCAACAAGGATAACTTAATGAAAAATGATCAGAATTACTTTTAATTTTCTAATTGCAATCTTTATTAGTAATACTATGCTCTAAGCGAAACAGATTTTTTTTTTTTTTTTTAAACGCGCCGGATTCACTGTCAAACTTCAAATTTCAAAAAAAGTAAAATATATTTATGTAAAAATAGCACTGCTAGCTATGTTTTTGAAAAAATTTAAAAAGTGCTTCGCTCAGAACACTTTAAATAGAACAATGTAACACCAAAAAAAAATTCAGCTTAGTAGTTTTATTTAATCAAAAGTTATCTTTGTTAAAAGACCACAAAAATTGTGAAAAATTAAAGGCAAGAAAAACCTTAAAGAAAAAATAAATAAAATTAAATAAAACATTAAAACTTAAAAACCAAATTAAAATGCTCCACTAGCATATGTCTCTCCTTCCTCAAGTTCATTTTTATCATTATGGCCCTTTCTAATTGAAAGAAGTTTCTTTCTTCTTTGTTTTACTGAGCTGGTTGACTTTTTCTCAGATTGTTTGACACAACAAATATCAGATAATCTAAAACCTTCTTTAGTGAAATACCCATTGTCTATGCCCAGTTTATTAAAAACTAGAAGCAGTCCTTGGGCACTGTTTTTGTATGCAATAGCAGATGCTACTGCAGTTTTAAAAACATCATTTCCAATGTATACTCTTTTTGGGCACTGTGTCCATATCAAATTGTTCAAAGACTCATTGACATTCTGGGTCTCACCGTGTAAACATTTTGTCAGAAGTTCATCACTACTAAGACCTCTGTGAGAAAATATTGGAGCAATAACATCAGAAACAGCTTTATGAATATTAACTTTTTCTTTATATGTTTTTGCTCCTGTGATTTTGCCACTTTGGTATCTGCACCAAGAATCAGAGCTACGTGGACAGAACTGATGTTGGTTTTCTAAATTTGGCTCATCTGTTGCGTGGTGTAAAACCGCAGTAACAGCCTTTTTCATCCCATACAGGTTGCCACTATTTTGTCGTATGGCCATTCCAACATGGTTTTAAAGAGTGTTCATGACTTTATTAGTTAGCCGACCTTTACCTCCCCTAATGCTTTTACCATTAGTCAATTTTTTTCCCTTATAATCGGCTTTAAGTTTACGCAGTCGTGTTCCAACACGTTTTTGGACATGTCCTATACGTTCTCTTTTGGTAATGCTATGATCTGGATATTGATCTGATTTACATATTTCTTCAAAGGATTTTGTATCACCATCTCCAATAAAAAAAGTGTATCTTAGACAATGAAGACGTACAGAACGAGCAAACATTCTTTTCATTCCTACAACTTCCATAGCTGCAGCACTGCCAATGTGATTAATTGAACATACATGAGTTTCTTTCCAGTTATTATATGCATCTACATTTTCTTTTTTTAATTCCCACATTTCACATTATTTACATTTTTTAGATTACACTTCAGTAGCGATGCATTTCCCCTCCAAAATTAGTGTAACTACACCATTCAAGGAAGAGTATCCTCTTTTTTGCAAAGCACCATCACCACTAACTTTAGCATCAATAACAACAGAATCATCTACAGTTTTATTAAAATGTATTTGCTTGGTAGCTTCTTTCATTGACTCTTGTGCTGTTTGTACATAGGCATTATGCAACTCGCTATTAATTTCATTATATGTTGTTTTGGCCATTAGTGATGGCATATTCATGCAAGAATAAAATGTTTTTATTGCACTAAAACCTTGACCGATCTCTCTAAATGCAGCAATCCTTGCGGCGAACGTGACGTCACTTTAACTAACAAAACGGCTACCATTATGGTATGAGGGCAAACAAAGCGCTTGAAAATGAAGAAATGTGTTTTTAATTGTTCAATTAATGTTAATAGTCATCCGAACTTGATTTTTTATATTTTGCTTCCTGATGCAAAGAGAAGAAAATCGTGGCTTTATGCTTTATATAGAATTGATTCATCTTGCAAAAACAAACTTTGGTTGCAAAACATGTCTAAGTATGCTCAAAACATTTTGTATCTGGTAAGTTTTGTATTTGAATCGTCAAAATATTTGGGCACAAATTTTTCTTGAACTAATTAAGTTTTTTTCATTTTTATTCATTGTAAGTATGTTTCTCTTTTAGGAAAAAAAAGAACCTAGTCTAGATGCTTTTCAAAATTTTGAAAAGCATGTTGACTATGTTCCATTTTCTATAGTAGAGTTTCTGCTGTTGTCACTGGTTTTAGAGAGTACCTTCGTGAATGAAGATAAAAAGTCATTTATGTTATTTTTTAAAAGCCAAGACATAATATTGTTAATCCTCATACCATTTACTAAAAAACTTTATAAATATTGTTACGATGTTATAACTCAAACTGTTGTAATTAGTAATTTTGATCATTTCATTATTATACTGTAAAAAATATTTTTTATTTATAACATTTATTTCACATATATTAAAAATATGAGGAATAAATATTACACTGAGGAAAATTTTAAGCAAAATATAGAATTTTTAAATGTTATTAGAATATCATTATGTAATATTTTTGTTTTATTTATTGACTACATCTGTAAACTGTGCAATAATTTCAAAATGATGAATTAATTGAATTCCATGATTCCTTTAAGCATTTGCACAGATTTATTTCAATATAACGCTAAATTTTGTTCTGGTAACGTTCAGCAGCTTTTTTAGATAACTTTTCTTGATAATCATAAGACATTTTCAAGGCGTTTAAGTAATGTTGTACAGAAATCAGCGCGTTTGTTTGCCCCAATATCATAATGGTAGATATTTTTGTTTTTCATTACGCAATGATCACGTGGTTTTTTCGCCGCAAGAATTGTTTGTAAATTAATTTCAAAACTTTTTTTTCTTGAAGTAGACTTTAATTTACTGCACTTTACTGAAGAACAAAATGTTATTTTCCAAATATATAAATTATATCTTTTTTCAGAACCCATTCCAAGTAATAATAGCTTTATTAATTAAAATATATATATATTTTTTAACTGAAGTATATAAGAATCTATAACACAACCTTTATTTAGAAGCTCTGAGTTGAGAACGGTTTTTGAGGCTTCAGTGTATAGCTTATAAACTGAATAAATAGAGATATTTAAAAGAATAAAAAGAAGCCTTTTAGGTGAAAACTAGATGTCTCGATCAGGTTTTAATCCAGAGATATTTGAAAAAAAGCGTTGTTAATGCGGTTGCTATGGCCTAAGAACTTAAATACCTTTATCTAGAAGGGTAAATTTTGTATGAATGCATAATTTTTTTTAAATCAAACCAAGTTTCCACAAAAAATAACACCCTAAAGATTTCAAAAATATAGTTTTTGAAATTTTCAAAAAGCCTCTTTTTCACACTGCTACCACAACCTTAAGTGGCATTTTCAGTAATAAATTCGCCCTTTTTCGGCCAAACTCAAAACTTTTTAGTTCATTTTATTCTTTAGACTAACATAACATATTTTAAGTTGTTGCAATTATTATTAAGTTGATGCGCGTGTAACGTAAGTTAAAAATGGAATTGCTCATATATATATATATATATATATATATATATATATATATATATATATATATATATATATATATATATATATATATATATATATATATATATATATATATATATATATATATATATATATATATATATATATATATAACTTAGTGAGAATCATAAACTCCCCAACGGAAAAATTAGCTTTCATTTTTCCGCTTTTAAACTTTTTACTTAACGACCTTAAACTTAAACTTAACGACCCGCATTCAAATCAGCTACAACATTTTTTGCTGGGAATAGTACTCCGCAGTTCAGAGAAGTTTTTCCACGGAAACAGGCATTAATCACCCCGTCATTTGTATGAGAAACCGGGGCTAATTGCAAAACTATGTTTCCTAAAACTTAGATTTCTTTAATACTTTTTTTGCTGGATTGTAAAATAAATCTTGGTAACGTATTAATCCAACCAAGACCAGCGCAATGGGGGGGGCAGACTCCTTTTCCCCATCAATCATCTTTTCGTTCATTTATTCAGCAAATTTGACCCTTTGTGACTAATTGGTCGGCAAATGCAGACTCTTTCGACAGGTTAGTCGGTAAATTTAGATAGTCAGCAAATGTCGTATGGCAGTCGGAGGGCAGTCGGCAAATTTTTTTTATTTTTTAGTCGGCAAAAGTTGTAATGACCCCCCCCCCCCCCCACGTGACACTACTCGCGCTATTCCTTATTAGTAAAATATTAATACCTGACATTTTTCATAAATTGATGACATTTATTTAAAAATAGAATTTCAAAACATAAAGATTGAGGCTTTAAGAGGCATCAAATAATTACACAAAAATAATGCCTAACTTTCAAAAAATAAAGACAAAAAATAAGACAAAAAATAAGTTGTCAAAAAT